TATATTTCCACCTGGCTTCCAGACAGCAATTACACAAATAATACCATTCTTTCCACTAAATCGTCATCTATTTGGAAAGTAAATGATAAAAGAATTAAGATTTTCTTTATCTTAATTTATCATATCATAAAATTAAGTATTTTTGTTGTTATTTTTTAAGACAGAGATTCTCTATGTAGCCTTGGCTGTCATGGAACTCACTCTGTAGACCAGGCTGGCTCTGCCTGCCTCTACCTCCCCAGTGCTGAGACTAAAAGGCATGTACTATACCACGTCTGGCTAAGTAGATGTATTTTTGTTAGTGGACTTTTTGGAGTCCTCAGTAATTTTTTTTGTATGTGTATATATGTGAGCTATGCATGTGTATATGTGTGTGAGTATATGTGTGTCTGTGTATGTTCACGTGTGTGGGTGTACATGTGTGTAGGTGGGCATGTTTGTGTTTGCTTGTGTATAGAAGACAGATGCCAACTTTCCTTGGTGGCTGTTCATCTTAGCTATTGAGGCAGGTGAAGTGATATTTTATTTATGTTTTAACAAAAAAAAGCTTGCCTGAAGATCAGAGTGCAGAGCTAAGCCACTAGAGGTCAGGGAGTGGTGGCACACAGAGTTAATTCCAGGACTTGGGAGACAGAGGCAGAGGGATCTCTGTTAGTTTAAGGGCACCTGAGGTCACATAAGATTGAATCTGTCCAAAAGAGAAACAGAGCTCACACAAATGTGATCCCGGCACTTGGGATCCCACTAGGGAGGTGGAGACAGGAGTGGGCAGAGAGAGGAATATAAGGGGGAGGATACAGGGGCTCAGTGCAGTCTGAGGTTTGGTGGACATAGATGGAGTCTGGAGATGCAGTCTGAGGACAGGATCGTCCCTTCGGTCTGAGCACTGGTAGAGGTAAAAGAACTCTCTAGTGGCTGGCGCTCTGCTTCTCTGATCTTCAGCATTAACCCCTATATCTGACTCTGGGATTTTATTATTAATACCAATTAGAATTTGTGCTACAGACAGGGTTTCTCATTTAAGTCAGGAGCCTGCTGGTTTGGCTAGTCAGCTCCTTGCCCTGGGACCTTATGCACATGTCGATTTTCTGTGGGTGCTGGTATCTGAGCTCTAGTCCCCATACTTGGACAACAAGCACTGTTGTTTCCCACTGTGCCAGCTCTCTAGCCCCTTTCTCAATAATTTTAAAGATCGCAATGATAACCTGAGTCCTGCTTCCTCTTATTCCAGGAGGAGTTCCTTTTTCACATCTCTGGTGTGACTCAGCCTGGTCTGTTTAGACGTTCCTGTTCTCAGGTTGCTCTAAGTGGTATTACTCCCCATTGCTTTGGGCCGCACTGATTTACTGAGGTGAGAGTGTCACATCCTTAAAAGCACGGACCTTTGGTTCTCATTTCAGGACCAGGTCATGAACATTTTCGTGATGCTTCCCGCCCTGACCATCCCCCTCATGACGGCCATTCACCAGCTAGCAGAGAACGCTCCTCTTCTCTCCAAGGCATGGACATGGCCTCCCTACCACCCCGGAAGCGCCCCTGGCATGATGGGTCAGGCTCTTCTGAACACAGGGAGCTGGAGGCCCAAGGAGGCCCCTCGGAGGACCGAGGAAGCAAAGGTAAGAGGTCTGCAGTCCCATCCCAGTCTGAGGGCTCTGTTGCAGATACCTGAGTCCCCAAGGCAGCCTCCACTCTACCTCAGAGCCTGGTATGGGCAGAGGATAGGCTCTTACACTTAGTGTGAGTGTAGTTTGTCTGCCACAGCTGGATGGAACTGCAGACTTGACTTAGCAGAACTTCCAGAAGTTCCTTGTTGGGGGTTTCTGCTTAGCTGGTCCCCCTGGCTGTTATATCCTCCACCAGTGGCTATTTGGAGCCCTCAAGGTGATCTTCTCAGGGAAGGTACCTTGCTTTTAGGCCTGGGCCCAGGAGGAACATCAGTGGCACTTTAACCAGAAGTAGCAGCCAGTGACTGCAACTACAGGTCTGGCTTTAGGGTTGGGCTAGACCCTGGCCTGTGTGTCATGCTTTGGGAAGGAAGCTGCTAGATGCCCCACCTTGTTCACTTGCCTTTTACGTAGCCTTTCCAGAATGACTTGTGGCTATCCAGTACATCTCTTGTTCTAGTTAAATGTGGTACTGTTCAATGTACTATGCTCCTAGATTATTGATGGGTAGTCAGGATGCCTGGCCAAGGACATGTAGCTAGCATGAGAGCTACATACTAGATGACAACTCTGCTCAGGCAGCCATAGGTTGAGCTACCATGCTTTGCATAATAAGAAGCCTAGCTTGGCTAGGCGGTGGTATTGCACGGCTTTAATCCCAGTACTTGGGAGGCAGAGGCAGGTGGATCTCTGTGAATTTGAGGCCAGCATAGTCTACAGAGCGAGTTCCAGGACAGGCTCCAAAGCTACACAGAGAAACCATGTCTCAAAAAAGGAAAAAAAAAAGGGGGGGGGGGAGCCAAGCTTATTGCTTGGTAAGTTCCTCTACTGTCTTCAGCTCCATTTGATTAACTTCCACTTAAACATTTCAGACAAAATAGTTGGGAGTTGGTAGTGTTGGATCTAGGAGATGATGAACCAATCACACCATCTCAGGAGAAAAAGTTCTATTTATGTTTTCCTTTATTTTTGCAATCTGGGAATTAAACACAGAATCTTGGCACATGGTAGGCAAAACACTGTACCACTGAGCTCAAGAAAAAAAATAAAAAATTGTATTTATTCTTTAATAAACACAATATATTTAGGTCTCCCAATCCCAGACCCAACCCCCTCATGGCCCCTTCCCAACCTAGCGCTGCTGCTTCTTGTCTGTGTGACTCTGAGTTGGGTTAGCACTGTGCATATGTGCATGGGCGGGGCATCCCCTGGAGCACGAGCAGCCTGTCCTGGCACACCAGTCAGAGCTTTCGCTCCCCAAGTAGCTTCGCTCACATTTTTAATTCTATTTGCTTTGTATGTTTGATGTGGGTGCCATGTGCACATGTGGACAGTTTGCCAGACTTGATCCTCTCCTATCTTGTCCTGGGCACGGAACTTGGATAGTTAGTACCAGGTGCCTGTACCTGCCAAGCCACCTCACTGGCCAAAGAAAGGTGTTTTTTTTTTGTTTTTTTTTTTTTTAAGATGGTTTTACTTACAGCTAACAGTTTGTAAATCCTAAAACCAAAAACAAGTCAGTACATCTCAGAATGCTATTTTATTTTTGTTCTTTGAGAATATTTCCCAATACTTAACAGGTGAAAAGGAGCCAAAGGACCACATGCCATGGGACGTGTACACAGACCCTGACTGGAGCCCTTGTTGCTACCATCTGTAGCAGCCTATATATCTTAGTTGCTTCTAACATTACTGTGTGCTTTTGGAACCTTCCTTAAATTACTTTGGTAGTCCAGGAGAGCAGAACATGATCCACCTTGAGGCAGGTTTCCTGGGAATCCTTAGTGTTCGGCTGGTTTCTGGCCTTTTGCCCAGTGGATGGCCTCCATAGATCATCCTGAGGCCAGGGTGGAAATGAAGTTAGGAAAGGACATAGGAACCCAGTCTTCTGAAAGACACTGTCATCAGGGAGTGAAAGCTGTACAGAATTATCGAGAAGTAACCACTAAGATATGGAATGTCATGTCTTGAATCATGTTTTGTTTTAGGCCGAGCAGGCCCAGGACCTTCCCAGAGAGTTCCAAAATCCGGGCGTTCTAGCTCTTTGGATGGAGACCATCATGATGGATACCACAGAGATGAGCCTTTTGGTGGCCCTCCAGGCAGCAGTTCTTCTCGAGCGGGCCGCAGTGGCAGTAACTGGGGTAGAGGGAGTAACATGAACTCTGGCCCTCCAAGGCGAGGCACTTCAAGGGGCGGTGGGAGGGGACGGTAGAAGTAGGGGCTGAGTAGCCCTGGGCCTCTCTGGATAGTATTTAAGAAGTTCTTATGGACTTACCAAGTGAAGAGAAAAGAAACCTTTACCACTGTAGCCCTGAGCTCTTCTTCTGGGGCAGCTGAATTCTAGGATCCCAATGAGGTTTCCACAATGAAGAGACTGCTGCCACTACCTAGGGTAGTTGGCCCTGTTTTGTCTTGTCCACCCTTGTTGCCCTAACTCTGCCATGTTGTTTGTGAAGATAAAAGCTGGAATCCCCCTTTTTTTTATGTCGTAAGAAATGGAGCACCTCCACAAAGTTGAGTTCATGTCCAATTGGAAATTTATTTCTATATGTACAGTTTGTCAGAGAAAAAAAACCTTGTTTTGTATGAATACAGAATGTGATTTACTCAAGAATTAACAGAAACAACCGGTTGTGTAGTGCTTGCCTTAAGGAACTCTCGTTTCTCCTGCATCTGACCTGCTGGGTGCAGTTCCCGCTGTTACTGACAGCAGATGAAGTCCATGTCAACTCTGCTTTTCCAATAAGTCTTACCTTCTTCCTGTTTCACACTGTCTCTGCTATGCGGAAAGGAATGCTTTAAAGTTCCTCTAACGTAGTTCAAGCAGGCTCAGAACCTCAGAAGATTACACTGGAAGAAAAAGCTGAACCTAGAGGCTCTTGGATGCACCTCCTAGCAGTTTAGGTTTGAGTGGACTTGTCTTCGTTGGGAAAGAAAGCTGGTGTAAACTGGAGCTAACTACAAGTGTCTTAGAGTTATCGCACACACTTCAAAGGAAGTGGAACAAAGTATATTTTGGAAACAGTCTCCTTTTCCACATTTGCTTTATGGCGGCTTCAGGGTTTGGGGTAGAAGACCAAGTGTGCCAGAAAGTTCTTTGCCATGACAGATATCTTGTTTCAAAAAAACAACACCCCTTTAATCCCAGCACTTGGGAAGCAGATCTCTGTAAGTTCAAAACCAGCCTGGTCTGTGGAGAGTTCCAGGACAGTCAGGGCCACACAGTGAAACTCTGTCTCAAAACAATCCCCCCCATAAACAAACAAACAAACAAACAAAACTAAGTGTGAAGGCAAAGGCAGGGCAGTCTCTGAGCTCCAGGTCAGCTTGATATACAGAGAAAGTTCTAGGATTCAGGGCTACATAGAAACCCTATCTGGAAAAAACACCCTCCCCCAAAGAAAAACAAAACAACAACCAAATTAGGACCTGGAGAGATGGCTCAGCATTTAAGTGTACATACAGGGACTGGAATTAAGTTCCCAGAACCTACCATCAGGCATCTCACAACTACCTCTAACTCCAGACACACACACACACACACACACCTTCCAGAAAAAGGAGGGAACTCAGACTGAAAGTCAAAATTTCAGTTTGAGATAACCTTTTCTATGTTGGCTTTTTTTCTTTTTAACTTATTTTTTTAAAACCTGTTTCTCATAACTTTTTTTTTTTAACCTGCATTTATATCTGTGCATCAATGTGTGGCTGGTGTCTTTGGAGGCTGGAAGAGAGTATCAGATCCCTGGAACTGGAGTTAGCACCAAGTGGTTCCTGGGAATTGAACCCATGTTCTCCTCCAGAGCAGCTGGTACTCTTAACCACTGAGCTGTCTCTTCACTGGTTTTTCTAAGAAAGTTCTTATTAAAAAGGTCAGGCCTGGAGCTGCTAATATCTCATTACATTAGCAGCTTTTGGGCACATGAAGACAGTTTACTTGGCAAGTTGAAAAGAGATGCCATAGTTGGACAAGTATATAGAAATCTTCCCTGGCTCTCTCTGGGTATGGAGTGAAGAAACGATTATTTGGGTGTCAGAACCTGAAGATTTCAAGCAAACAATTTTCTTTTTACTTCAGTGTCAGGGCTGGAGAGATGGCTCAGAGGTTAAGAGCATTGCCTGCTCTTCCAAAGGTCCTGAGTTCAATTCTCAGCAACCACATGGTGGCTCACAACCGTCTGTAATGGGGTCTGGTGCCCTCTTCTGGCCTGCAGGCATACACACAGACAGAATATTATATGCATAATAAATAAATAAATATTTTTAAAAAATAAATGAAAGTGTCAGCACCCACACTATTAAAAGCTGTGTTCCTCCTCACCTGTGTTCCCCGGCATAACATCAAACAACTCACAGTCAAGTTCCAGGACGCTACACAGGGATTCATAAACACCCAGGTCACATTGTGAGGATGGATTCATTTATAAACAGAGCCCCTTATATTATACGTAAACATTTACATACAGCATTTTAAATACTCCTGTCAAAATATAAGATGTTGTGCTTTGAGCTTTATAAAACTTATTTCAAGTAATGAATTTTTGAGATGATCTTAATACCTTGAATATAGTAACATAAAAACTGTACATCACTACTGAAAACAGCATTTCCTTTCTTAAGAGAGTGCTCCTTGTCTGTCTGGGGAGCACTAGAGAGAATGGAATATGAGCCATGATGGAATCACTTTGCTACTGCCTGACCTGCTATGCCTTTCCTGTTAGGGCAACATGGGGACAGCCTGGAAAACAATTACTTTCACATTGTACCAGCCAGTGCGCAGATGTGGTTCTCAACTTAGCCAAACATGAAAGCATCTGGGTATATATATTAATTAATGGCTGGACCCATCCCCACTAATATTAATGAACTGACGAAATGTGGCTTCCTTTGATGTGAGAACCATTGGTAAAATTATGAACTCCTAAATACACTTTACTTTTTAGTGTATCAAGACTCAATACTGAATCCAGTTTTTGGCAATAAATGATGATAGATTTAAATGCTGTTTGACTGCAGCACAACAAAAACAATTCTGGATGAAGAGCACTTTGCATTGCATCAGTATCAAATTGTATAGTACTTGCAAAAGCAGCAATAATGTTAGGAATAGTCAACGATTGGCAAAACCTCTCACATCAAACACAACAACTGTAGATGTAAGCTTTTCCTTGTCTCCCATGACCCTTAAGCCCGGTTCTGCGGAAACCTGCAAACTTAACCACGCATCATCCTGGATATCTGGCTTCTTGATTCAGAAAATTGCTCTTTGGTGTATTGCTTTTACGATTAATTTTCCTTAAATATTATAAAGCACCATATTTACTCTTAACTGAAGAAAAAAACTGAGGTATAATGTATCAACTAATCACTATTTTAAATCCAGTGGCTAAATTTAGTGTTTAATCCGATAATCTGGGTTGATTTACACTGAATAGGAGTACGGAGGCTTCAAAAAGTGGCGACAAAAACCGAACCTCTATGCTCAACTACATTCTTTTTAAATGACAAAAGGGAGGGGCAGTTCTTCCAAAGCCACGAAAGCAGCCAAGTCAGCCGTCCCCTTTAACTGACGTCCATGTAAAGCCAGTTCGAAAGTAGTTCATGGATAGTGAACTGTGTCTTTCGGGGCCCATGCTGCCCACCCAGAACCTCAGAACGCTGAAGTTGAAGGGTCTTCTCTGAGACCGCCAGCCCGTCAGTCGGTGGCAGCTGCTCCAGGCGCACGGACTCCGGCGCACAGTCCAGTGGGTGCCTTGTCCTCGCACGCTAGGGTGCCGTGGATTGTGGCGATGCCTGGCTGGTCCCGCTTCCTAAGACGGACGGTCACACCGGGAGAACGTTGGTGAGGCTCGCCCCACGATTCAGGCGGCCAAGCGCTAGGCGCAGCGCCGTCACGCCGCCCCAGGGCAGGAGCCCCAGCAGCGCGTAGAGCAGCGCGGCTACTTGCGCGCACGCGCCGAGCGCCGTCAGCGCCGTACTGCGCAGGACCAGCGCGGCGTAGAGCGTGGCGCCCAAGGCGGCGGCGTAGGCCAGCGCGGTTCTCGACGGCGTCTCCTCGCCCCGCAGCAGACGCCCGCAGGCCGGGCCGCCCCGCAGCAGCGCCGCGCTCGCCAGCGCCAGCACCGAGCCCAGCGACCAGAGCAGCGCGAACTTTCGCGCGCGCAGCAGCAGCACCGGGGCATACAGCGCCGCCAGGCCGAAGCAGAGCGCGGCCAGCAGCAGACCCAGGCCTCCCGCCGCCAGGCGCTGCCCGCGCGTCACTTTTGGCATGCACTGCGAGCCCGCGGGCGGCGGCTCGGCGGAGCTCCGCGGCCACGGCCATCGCAGAGCCTTGCGGCCTAGCCACGCCGCGGCGGCTCCGTCCCCGGCCTCAGGCTCTTCGGCCGTCCTCGCGGCGAGCAGCGGCTCGGCGGCTGCCGGCCTGTTCGCTTTACCCTGCATCAAGTAGTCCTGCAGTTGGCGGTGGAGATCTGCCATTTCGGACCGGGTGCCGGTGGAAACGGGGCTGACACTTCCGGGTTCGGGCGCCCGCAAGCGGAAGTAGCTAGATCCTCAGGCTGCGGTTGGTCGGCCACGGCGGAAGGGTGGTGTCCAAGGCTTTGGGGAAGTCCTGGAGTAGGCGGCACAGCTGTGCTCCTGATTTTATGTTGTAGTTACGGAATAAATCCCGTCAGGGTTAAAAAAATAGTCGAGAGTGGCTGTGGTAGTAAAGGGACGCACTTAGGGCGACTCTGCTGGCATGATGAATATTGACTGTCAGGTGCCTAACATTGTTAACATTTTGCTAAATGGAGGAATTTGGGAAAAGGGTACACAGAATTTCTCTCTCCCCCTCCTTCTTGCCCCTCCCCCTCTCTTTCTTTCTTTCTTTCTTTTTTTAGCAATTGTCTACATTTCTACGGTTACCTCAATTCTAATGAAGGCGCTGGAGAGATGGCTAGCGGTTCTTGCCGCTCTTGCAGAGAACCCAGGTTCGGATCCCAGCACCCACATGGCATCTAACAACCACCGGTAATTTCAGTTCCAGGGGATCTGACGCCCTCTTCTAGCCTCCGCTGAGGCTGCAGGTATGTGGTACACGTACAAACATGCAGGCAGATCACCCATATATAAAAAAATAAAAATTTAACTTAAAAATTTACACCTACAGAGCTTAGGTTATCCCGTTTGAAAGTAGAGTTTGTAAAGAACTGACTCCCAGCCCACTCCTGGTTTCCGTTTGGTTTTTGTTTGTTTTTGAATTACTTCTTTTATATTTTGAGAATATAATTATATTGTTTCTCCCATCTTTTTCTTCCCTTCAAACCCTCCCAAACATCCTTACCCTCTTTCAAATTTGTGGACTCTTTCTCTTTCATTAATTGTTATTACATGCATGTACATGCATATGTACACATTTCCAAATATAACCTTCTCAGTCTGTATAAAGTTACTTGTATATTTTCAGAACTGGTTATCTGATGTTGGATAACCAATTAGTATGCTTTACCCCCAGGGAATTCTATTTCTCCCACTCAACATTCCTTAGCGCTCTCTCTCTCTCTCTCTCTCTCTCTCTCTCTCTCTCTCAGACACACACACAGAGGTTAAGTGGAATTATTTTCCAGATTTTGTACTTGGTAGTTTGTCATTAGTATATAGGAATACTACTAATTTTTGTGTATTGTGTATTCTGCTACTTTGATGAATGTGTTTGTCAACCATAAGAGATTTCTTGTGGAGTCTTTAGAGCCTTTTATATCTAGAGTCATATATGCAAATAAAGATACTTTTCCTTCTCTATCGTCTCCTTCACTTGTCTTATTGCTCCAGCTAAAGATTTTATATACAGTCTTGTCTTGTTCCTGATTTTAGTGGAAATGCTTTAAGTTTTTCTGTGTTTAGCCAGATGTTGGCTGAGGAAATCTGTGTGTTGCCTTTATTATGTAGAGAAATGTCACAGATTCTCTAGAACTTTCATTATGAAGGTATGTTAGATTTTTGTTAAAGGCCTTTTCTGCATCTAATAAGATGATCACATGCTTTCTATCTTTTAGTGTGACTACGTGGTGGATTACTTTTCTGTCTTTTAGTGTGACTACGTGGTGGATTACTTTTCTGTCTTTTAGTGTGACTACGTGGTGGATTACTTTTCTGTCTTTTAGTGTGACTACGTGGTGAATTACTTTTCTATCTTTTAGTGTGACTACGTGGTGGATTACTTTTCTATCTTTAGTGTGACTACGTGGTGGATTACTTTTCTGTCTTAGTGTGACTACGTGGTGGATTACTTTTCTATCTTTTAGTGTGACTATGTGCTGGATTACTTTTCTATCTTTTAGTGTGACTACGTGCTGGATTACTTTTCTATCTTTAGTGTGACTACGTGGTGGATTACTTTTCTGTCTTAGTGTGACTACGTGGTGGATTACTTTTCTATCTTTTAGTGTGACTACGTGGTGGATTACTTTTCTGTTTTTTAGTGTGACTACGTGGTGGATTACTTTTCTGTCTTTTAGTGTGTTTATGTGGTGGATTTATTGACTTACATATGTTAAACCATCCTGGCATCTCTGGGATGAAACTGATTTGATCATGGTGATCTTTTTGATTTTTCTTAAACTCAGTCTGCAAGTATTTTTGCATCCATGTTCAACAGAAATATTGGCCTATAATTTTCTTTCCTTTGTTGCTGTTGTTGGGCCTTTGTCTGGTTTTGGTATCAGACTATAGTAACTTTGTAAAAGGAATTTGGAAGTGTTTCTTCCGTTTGTACTTTACACATAATTTGAGAAGTATTGGTATTAATTCCTTGAAAGTGTGGTAGAATTCTGCATTCAGTTCATCTGGCCCTAGACTGTTTCAGTTGGGATTTTGTTTTGTTTTGTTTTTAACTTTTTATTGATTCTTTGTGAATTTCATATCGTGCACCCCAGTCCCACTCATCTCTCTGTTCCTCCTTATCTGCCCTGCAACCTCTCCTCCCAAAAGAAAGCAAACAAACACAGATCTCACTGTAGAATCTGCATTGTAACACAGTACACCCTTGTGTTTAAACAGCTTTACCTAACATATGTTCATTGCAGTGAGTCATTGGTCTGGTTGGAGGTCTCTGGCTTCTTCTCCACTATCAATACTGGGTCCTCACCAGAACTCCTCTAGGACATCCTGTTGTTGCCCCGGGTTACAGAGATGCTGCAGCTTTGGTTCTGCAGGACCGGACTCTCTACCTGCTCCAGCAGGTCATAGATGGGGTAGATGTTGGGATGGGCCAACTCAAAGTCCTGGATCTGGGCCTAAGTGGTAGCTGAGCTGGTCAGTCCACCCACTCTCCTGCAGCTACACAACCAGGGCCAGCTCTCCTGCTTTGCCCAGGAGAGTGGTGTGGTCAGCTCTCCTGAGCTTATGCCATTGGGGTTAGCTCTCCCTTACCCACACCACCAGGACCAGCTCTGCTGTGCTGCCCAGGAGAGGTGAGAGGCTGCTCCTGCTGTCATGCCCTTGAGGCCAGCTCTCTAGGAAGATTTTTATAAAGGGATTTTTATTTTATTTTGTTTGTATGGGTGTTTTGCCTGCATGTCTGTACCACATGCATGCAGTGCCCACGGAGGCCAGAAGATGGCATTGGATCCCTGGAACTGGAATTGCAAATGGTTGTGACTCATCATGTGGGTGCTGAGAATCAAACTGAGGCCTCTGCAAGTACAACCCGTCTCCTTCCTGCTGAGCCATCTCTCCAGTCCTTTGTGGGAGATTTCCAGTCACTGGTTCTAGCCCATTGAATGCGTGGGTTTATGTATGTTATCTCATCTTGACTTAGCTTTGGTGGATAATATATATCTAGAAATTAACCCTTTCCTTTTAGACTTTGACTTTGGTAGAATGCAGATTTTTTTTAAATGAAATTTTTATTATTTCTTGCATTTTCTTAGTATTTGTTGCAATGTCTCTAATTTTATTAGTTTGGATCCTGTCTTTCATTTGATTTATTTGGCTAAAGGTTGTGAATTGTGTTAATTAATCCTTCAAAGAATCATCTGTGATGGTAATCTTGATTGTCAGCCTGACACATCTGGAGCCAACGAAACTTAAGCAGCTGGGAACACCTGTGAGGGATTGTGTTGACTGGACATTTGGGATGGGAAGAGCCACCCTAACTCTGGACCACACCTTCTGGTGACTGCCACTTGAAGGGACATGGAACAAGGAAGCTTTTGCTTTTTGCCTTCTTACCCTCACGTTGGCTGGTTAGTTCATCTCTCCTGTTCTGACATTCCCTTGCTGGAGTTAGGACATAGTCTTCAGGATTTCATTGTTCCCTGAAGACCAGCTGAGACATCCAGCCTTGTGGACTGAACAACTACTGCATTCTTGGTCTTTCAGTAAGGAGACAGCGTTGTTGGAGTAGCCGGACCACAGCCTATAAACTACTCTAATAAAGTGTGTGTGTGTGTGTGTGTGTGTGTGTGAGAGAGAGAGAGAGAGAGAGAGATTGAGATTCTTTAGTGTGTGTGTGTGTGTGCGTGCGCATGCATATGTGAGAGAGAGATTGAGATTCTTTAGAGAACGCTGCCTAATACAGTCCCCAATTAAGTCCTGTTCTGTTCAGTGACACAGTGATCCTTCCTAGAGAAGGGCCAGCCTGTATGGATGAAGGACTCTTACTTGTGTCTGAGGAGACTTATTTTGTTTGGAAAAGAGGGTGAAAAGTTCATTCCAGAAATATTAGTGAGAATAAAAGATTTTTTCAGTTTTTTTTTTTTTTGGTAAGAGATTAAAGGTAGCTGAGAAGATGATTCAATTGGTAAAATGTTTGCTTTGCAAGCATGAGGACCTGAGTTCGATCCCCCATACCCATGTACAGTTAGCTAGGTGTGGTGGCATGTTTTCACACCAGTGCTGAGGAGGCAGGCAGGTAGGTCCCTGCGGTTTGCTAGCCAACTGTTTTAGACAGCTAGGCAAGTGCCAGGGCAGCGGAAACATGTTTCAGAACAAACGAACAGGAAAACAAGAAAGGGAAAAATTGGTGAGCAGTGTCTGAGGGGCAATTATCTGAGCCTGTTCCTTGACCCTTCCCTCACACACGCACGTACCCACATGAATATGTGAGCACATACACAGAGAGAACTTGGTGGCTCCATGATAGCAACAAGAAAATGACAAAGCACTCAGAAATGTGACAGGTCTAGGAGAGTCTAGGAAGAACCCTCCTGGGAGACAGAAATCTGTGCCTAAAAACGCGGGAACAGTCACAGGCTGGAAACAGTTCTCAGTGCATCAGGGGCATTGGGAGCAGAATGGACAGAATGAAGGTGTGGTAAGAAGGGATTTACTGGATTGGATTATACGATATAGTCTAGGTAGTCAACAATACCTGCTTCATATTAGAGGGTTAGGCCGAGAACTGGGCAGTCGCCGAGTCCAGAGGCTGGATGTGTCAACCTGAGGATGCTGGTTCTGGTTTTAGTGAAGTAGTCAGCAGAGCAGCAGAGACCACCTTGTCCAGAGGGTGCAGGTGAGCAGGTGAAACCAG